CTGCGGCAGTGCGGGGGACCGCCGGCGCCTCGCACCAGCCAAGTTCTGCAGCTCCCGGTGTTCAAAAACTGGGAGCGAGGAGCAACACGCACCCACCGCCTGGAGCGACGATTCAGTGGCGTTTCATCCCACAGGGCAATTTATTTTTCTTCGAACGTTACCGAACTACTGCAGGAAATCAATCGCGTTTCGTATTTTTTGCAGACCTGAAGTAGCTTACTGAGGCAACCTGCAAAAATACAACCGGCCATCGGGTAGAAAACATCCTCTTTTCTTTCTCTGATAGTTCACCTTACGTTGCAGGGGTGACTGGACTGACAACAGAACTCTGCTGAGATCCCTTCTTCTCCTGTGACGTGTTCCTGCCGCCGCTGAGAATTGAACGCATGGCATAAAGCGGGCCAGAGGCTGATACTGTTTTTCCTCCAACCCGTCTTCATTACGTGATATCCTTTTTCCAGAGCTAAGGTAATTAAGTATCAGCAAATTCTACAGCGCTCTAAGGGAACATTGCTTTTTCACTGCCGTAAGTTCCCATTAGACGGAAAGATTTATGCTAGGCGCTGTTTGAAAACCTTCTGCAATCCCCAAATTTAACCTGCTTCCATAGAAGTACAACCATCAAAGCTACTTAAATGAAATATCAGAGAATAAATTTCACCAAGAAAAAAGGCCTCTCCTGGAAAGCCGGCAGGCCGGTCAGAAAGACCCAACGGGACAGAATTCACTGCTAGCGCAAATATGGGCAAGCCTGCGAAGGCGTATGGAGGTGTACGCTCCTCCTCAAGCCGGTTACGAGTCTGGATGGTTAACCTCTGGGCCAGGTTAGACCTTCTGGAGTTTTATGTTAAAGAAAAAGAAAACAAAATTACTACTTTTCCAAAGAAGCTGACATTTCTTTCAGTGTCTTTCACTGCCAGACGCTCTGTATTCATACAACGAAGAAAACGTTTCAAATACATGAACGTAATCCAGTAGGAAAAGTAATCGGAAGACAAATATAAAGAACATTCAGACTAACCTTCTGCACCAGAACGCCATCAGGCAGTGCTTCAGACTGACAGAAGTTACGCAAACTGGTTCTCCGTATTAGCGCACCGTGGAGCCTGGGGAAGGAAAATCTGTCAGAAACACAACTCCGATTCCCGTGCTGACAGCAAAATTACGGTTTGTGGCTTACTGTTCCCTTCAACTGTAGTTATGAGGGAAAAAAAAAGAGAAAAAAACACACACACACACCCCTTGACTCTCCGGTGCAGAAGGACTTCAACGTTCAGAGTGCGGCTTTCCTGAAGCCGCCGGGTTTTAAAAAAACCTCCCCAAACCGTAATCCTTCAAGTTTCACCCGGTGCGTCTTCGCTGAGATCAGCCGGTATGAAACCGGAGTTACGCCCTGACGTGAAGTTTTAAGCATCATCGAAGCGTAAACACAACCGAATGGAATCAGCATTTGGGTTCCTTTTTTGGGCCTTTTATCTCAGCGCCCGTCAACGACTACCCGCTACTTAAAAGCGTCACGACCGAAATTCCGATGGTTTCATCGATTTTACTAAGCCTGCAGAGCAGCTTACGATTACGTCGGGCCCACCACAGTGGCTCACGGCCCGGCGCAGGCACGGAGCCCCGTCCGGCCCGGGGG